ACTTTTACTTGAGTAGAAATTTTTGAAGTTGTGTTTCTCTTACTTTAGTACAATTTGGGGTTTTCTACCCACCTCTGGTTGAGGGTAGTTCTCATGGTAGGGAACCATGAAACTACCTTGAAAAGTAAAATTCAAAAATAAGTGTAGTTTGCTTTGACGTTTCTTACTTGGGGCGATGGTGGCATGAGGCCGGCAGGGCGGTATTGGGTAAGGAACAGGTCTATGAGGGTTGTAAGTCGAGGGAAACTAGAAAGAAACAAAAAACAAACAAGTGAAACATCAAACCAGAAACCTAAAACAGTAGAATATCTTACAGGTAGATACACAATTTTTCTAGTTCATTCCTGTAATCAAAGTTGTTTGAGCATAACGAGTAGCTCAAAATGGTACAAAGTATTGAACTGCCAAATGTTAAACTTGAGCACATTATGGTACCATACTGTCTTTAGAAAACGTTGCACGGTATCAAACTACAGAAGGAAACTGGCAGACCCAAAGCCATATTTGAATTGCAGGACAAGTTGGGTCACAGGTGGCACCAAGGATCACAGCTTCAAGCACAGCATAACAGTAGTCGTAGCGAGTAAGTTTTAGTGCTAACTGTGATGAATTGAAGCAAGAAAGTCACTGCTGAAGTGCCAGAGCATTGATGCGTTCACACCGAATGCAAAACATCTGCTTTTGCATCATGCTTTTGCTTTGATGACATTCCGCCAGAAATCCACCCGGCTGGCAAAAGTAATTCGCACAGTGGGTGAATTCGCATTGCAGGTAAAAGTCCCTACTGCATCATCCACTCTGCTGGATGAGGGTTTTCATGACAAGCATATAAACAAAAGTTCAGAATTTGGGAATGTTATGTTGCATACTTTGCAGGGGCAGTGGTTCTCTCACTTTGCTGGATTTACAAAAACTCTCCATTTTCCTCACAGGGCTTTTGAGTCACCCGCTACATGGAGATAACATGTTGTTCTATCCAGCTGCCAAATTTACACTAGGTGTGAACGCACCTTAAGACAAGCTTGACTGGATAATAAAACACTTCCCTTGAAAAATGAATAGAAGAAAGTTTTATGGACCGCTAAATTAAAATTAGAAATCTTTGGCTCATCACAGAATATTTGCATAATGTTCCGAAGGCAAAAGGATGATTTCACAGGGTGTCACATCAGCAGTCAAAAATGGAGGAGGGAGCGTGTGGTCTGGTGTCACTTTGCTGAATCCAACTAAAATATTTAACATAGCTTTCTGTGGTACCATGCTCAGGTAGGCACCCCGTCAGACAGGAGCTACTTAAATAAGACAATAACCCAAACATAAGTCCAAGCAATGCCAAAACTGCCTCAGTGATAAAAAGAACAAGATGGTAGCCTTGAAAATTTGGAGTGGCCAACACGGTCTGCAGACTTATAACCATTTTAAGCTTGTTTGGGATACTTGGACCAAAGAGTTAAAACAAAGAAAACTGCAAATATCCCACATTTATGGGAACATTTGCAACAGATTTGGAAGAACTTTATAAAAGAACATTAATTTCTACAGTAGAAAAAAAGCCAGTAAGTGTTCAGCTTTTATATCAGCCAAAGATGGCAACTTTGAAAAAAAAAAAAAAAAAAAGGACTCCATTATTGCTGATTTGTACTATAGTTTAATTTCAGAGTGCAATAACACACAAAACTGTCATATTCTGACAAATATGTTTTTTTTCATTATCAATTCAATACTCACAGGTTTGAATGGTCCAATAATCCTGGAAGCAATTCCTTTCCCCTCAATGCTGGTGGAGCTGTCTTTTTTTTTCTCACCCTCTTTTTTTATTGGAATAATTCCCTGTAGTTAATAGCACAGGTTACTTTAGGAGTCATTCTTTAAAATGAAAAAAAAA